TTGGAAGCTAATTTGGAAGTTAGGAAGTTACGATAAAGGTAGTCCCGATAGATTCTTCCATTTTGCATGTTCTATTAAAGGTCTTTTCGGCACGTAGAATTATAGTCGACTGTCAGAATTTTTGGGGGTTTTACACAATCTCCAAAAGGCAGCTTGCACGAGAGCTTTAACGGAAAGCTGGGAGCCCCCCCCCCCCCTCCCACACACACACACACGGAGATCCTGTCACGAAGCGTAAATTTTGCTATGGGTAGCAGGCACAAGGCGAAAGCGGTCGTGGAGTCCCGCGCCGAACATTTAACCAAAAGACTAAGGGCGCCGACTGGGTTGCACATGTGCCAACTCGAGGGCTATTTTTTCGGAGCAGAGGAACATCAACTAGACGAACTGGGCTCGGAGGTTAATAAGGTGGCCAGGAATCCCACCACAGCTATAACCCCAAGGCGCGAATCTCCCTGAAACTGCCCATAAGGATGGCGTTATATTACCCTATTTTCAGGTGTATAAGCCGCACCCTCTTTGCTCTAAACGCGAGCAGACCCAGGCGTGGCGCCGCGCATATGTCTCGCGAAGCGGTCGCCTTATCGCGTACTGCTCTCACTTAACGCGCTCCATGATGACAGTCAGTCTTTTGGCGTGTTCGCCTTTAGAGTGAAAAGGGTGCGGCTTATACACCTGAAAATAGGGTAGGTTGTCCCGAAAGTTTTGTTCGTTCTTTCAACCTATCATAAAAACGCGTGGAACGAAGCTAGGAAAACGCTTTAAGCACTATCCGACGCATCTTTTCCTCCTCTTTCTAAATGTCTTAATCGTGTCCAGATTACTTTTTTGCTCACTAAGTAAAACGCCGAAATTTCGAACCCATGGTTTTTACTATGTATGTCCAAATTTGACAATTTTTCACAATCTTCATTTCCAACTTTTGGAAGAACTTTGGTAGCCCTCAGATAGAGTAAGCAAAAGGCAATATAATGCAATTTTGCGTCTATAGCCAGCCTTGAAAATTTTTTAGAATTATTTTTCTGGTGCTATCAAATTCCACTTTTGGTGATGCCAAAAGCCAGAGATCATGAAACGGCGCACAACTAAGGTGTTATTCGATGCAGCTTTTCCTCCTCTTTCCAGTGAGTGTATTTTTTCTCCAATTTGCGGGGTCCTTGGCGATAAAATTTTCATAATTCTTGAGTTTGACCCCACTCCAGCGTGTACACGTAAAATGCAAAATCTTATATTTCGAAGCGGTAAATGCTCATTTGCTTCGTAAAAATAGTGAATAATCGTAGTCGGTTTTTGGAAGCTTCAAAATCCGATGATTTGTTAGGGTTCGAGGCGTTTGTGTATTTTAGAACTTCGCGAAAGTGAAGACTTTTAAAAAAATTATCTTTAAAAATATTGAAAAGCCAGCTAGATAAGCCAAACAATTGCTTTGCATTGCCCTTTGCTTACTCTATCTGAGGACTACCAAAGTTCTTCCAAAAGTTGGAAATGAAGATTGTGAAAAATTGTCAAATTTGGACATAGTAAAAACCATGGGTTCTTAATTTCGGCGTTTATCTCAGTGAGCAAAAGAGTAATCTGCACAAGATTATGACAGTTAGAAAGAGGAGATAAAGGTGCGTCGGATCTTGCTTAGAGCGTTTCTCACCTTTATTCCACGTATTTTTATGATAGGTTGAAAAAACGGACAAAACTTTCGGGACAACCTAATAGAATGCATGCGCGCATGATACATGAGCACGAGATGCTTACAATAAAGAAGTTTCTCCCTGAAGGATTCGGAGTAAAGCAAAATAATGGGTCAAAAAAAACTTGCCTGATTGCTATCGCGGCAGATTACAACTCTCATTTTACACAAAAAATAAGTTTTGGATGATCTTTACACTCAGCTAAAACAAAAATAAAATCTAATAAAAAAAAGAAAATCATCAACGAGCATAGCCACAAATGCAAAGAGATTGATATAAAAGCCAAATCATTAAAACTATGGCAGAGTAGGTTACTATGAACTCATTGCAGTAGGCTGTGATTACCCTTACCAATGCTAGGTAATAAATACACAAAAAGTCACACAATTGGCGAACGCAATCACAGTCTCATTGCAAATATAACTATAACAAAGCACAGTGAGCGTAAAATATAACTATAACAAAGCACAGTGAGCGTAAAGCATGGAAAATTCACGTGAGCTGTGGGAGCATTGAGATGATATCTGAACACACAAAACTTTAAGGCCTGGACTGATCCCCTTTTTGGAGGTGACGTATGAGCTTGGTTGAAAACTTGATTCCGCCAACCATTGATAGTTTCTGGCTATTTTCCGCGCACCCGTCGAATGACGACAATGCACATCTTGACCCCAGCGCAAGTTTGAGCTCGCGCTTTCAAACGTGAACTATATCGCGACTATTACGTGGCGGATGAGAGACGCAGGAAAGTAATCCACGCTTGCGATCGGATATATTCGTCGCGGGAGCCAGAGTACAATAGCCCGATAGTTGCTTTTCACACACACACACACACACACACACACACACACACACACACACACACACACACACACACACACACACACACACACACACACACACACACACACACACACACACACACACACACACACACACACACACACACACACACACACACACACACACACACACACACACACACACACACACACACACACACACACACACACACACACACACACACACACACACACACACACACACACACACACACACACACACACACACACACACACACACACACACACACACACACACACACACACACACACACACACACACACACACACACACACACACACACACACACACACACACACACACACACACACACACACACACACACACACACACACACACACACACACACACACACACACACACACACACACACACACACACACACACACACACACACACACACACACACACACACACACACACACACACACACACACACACACACACACACACACACACACACACACACACACACACACACACACACACACACACACACACACACACACACACACACACACACACACACACACACACACACACACACACACACACACACACACACACACACACACACACACACACACACACACACACACACACACACACACACACACACACACACACACACACACACACACACACACACACACACACACACACACACACACACACACACACACACACACACACACACACACACACACACACACACACACACACACACACACACACACACACACACACACACACACACACACACACACACACACACACACACACACACACATACACACATACACACATACACACACACACACACACACACACACACACACACATACACACACACACACACACACACACATACACACACACACACACACACACACACACACACACACACACACACACACACACACACACACACACACACACACACACACACACACACACACACACACACACACACACACACACACACACACACACACACACACACATACACACACACATACACACACACACACACACACACACATACACACATACACACACACACACACACACATACACACACACACACACACACACACACACATACACACATACACACACACACACACACACACACTTTACAGAATTGAACTTTTAAAGCCTGTTTAACGAAAACATCCTGGGTCATTTTTGGTGTATTCAAACAGTAGATTACTCGTTCGTGCACTTAATACAACCTAAAAACGATATTTAGAAAGTTAAAAAAGTGATTTTTCGGCAAGCTAGAAAGAAGCGATTTTTCGGAAGGCTAGCCATATGAGAGCGTAATCGCATTTATTGATGACGGAAATTTCTGAGTATCCGAGATGTGAGATTAAGGGGAAGCTACCTCCTCGCAGAAAGAAGTCTTAGCTAAATAGCTTCCATTCGAATTGTTACAGAACAGTTGCAGCCGAAACAAAATTATTTACTAGCCAACCGAATATTATGCTTGCGGAGACAACAGTGTTAATATGAACTCCGGATCTTGCCTTGTTTGGAGTTTAGCCTTCAAAAGTCGAGGCTCTTCAATCACGCAAGTTGGAGGCGAAAATAATAGAAAAAAATTTGCAAAAGTTCGAAAAAAGGATTATTCATGTGCGGCATGCTATTGAAAAACTATAATCCTCCATTCAATCTTAAGATCAGAAAAATCTTAAGAAGATATCGTAAGAAAATTTTGAAGGATTTACCTTCAACTGCAGCAATTCTGTTGCAACCTATTAGCTGATCAAATCTGAAGGTTTTGAGCGAGTATTTGACCATGGGTGGCTTTTTTCCATCTATTGTTGCATTAAAGCGCGAATGAATCAATTCATACGGCAAAATCTCACTCCAAGTTTCGGAACTGTAAAAATTCGCTGGTGTTGATACTTGTTCCAAAGAGTCAGGGCAACACATTTTTTTCTTGTTTATACATCACATCGTTATAGAATCACAAATGAGTAATACCGACTGGAAACATTGCATTCAAAAGCGTTGCACAAAGACCTCCGTCCTGAGAGAAGTGCTTTTGCCCTTGAAAGTGCATAAGTGTGACTCATTGAGAAAGTTCTCGCCTCAAAACCCATTTCTCAAATGGAAAGACTCACAAAAGTTACCGCATTGTCATTCCAGATTTCTGTGGGTCAGCTAAATAAATAACGAAAAGCTTTGGATGTTACAAAACTTTTTTAAATGACTAATATAATATATTTCGATAAAACAAGCTCGTATTTGTCAGATGCAATATTGAAACAATGCATCAAACAATTAGCCACTTGACATAAATGCAGCACTGACTTTCCTCTTTGACACAGTATGAATAAGCTTTGGAGACAAAGGGAATGATTCGAATGACAAAAGGAACTTATATGCTTTACATGATGCGTCACATATTCTATAAAAGAGAGGGCGGGCTCACTTATGATTCATCCGTCAACCAGTCCCATCTCGCAAACACGGGACGGAAGTATTCAAACATTTTTGGCAGTCGAAATCCGTTTCTCTCTCCCGTTTTCAGTTTAATTGTTTGTTATGAGCCAACCAAACTACACCTACGTTCAGGTACAGCAAATAGTGTAATCAGAGGTTTTGCTCAGGAACCTCACCAAAAATTTCAGCCGTGTCCGAACCAACCCTATTGCAATCAACAACCTGGATACTATCCCCAACAACCAAATTATTATCCTCAGCCTCCGCCGCAGACGATCTAGTGAGTATTTCATTATTCTTTTTCTTTATACTTCATTTCATGACATGCTTGCACTTTGAACTAAGCGTGTTTACAAAGGAGGATACTTGGCGACCGTTGCCATTCGTAATGAGGCTTTCACTCATGCATCTTAGAGCGATGACTACAAATCTGCTTTTGTTTATACGCTAAACGATTGTCTAAAATAAGTCACGAGCTTCTTCCGCATAATTTTCTGCAACAAATAAAGACAACATTGAGATCTAAATAGAAAATAAACGCAACCGGACAGGTCGTCAAGCTGAAAATGATTGCGTTTATTTTTGAATGTTTTTTGGGAGCAAGAAATTTGAGCGATGCTCATGGTTTTGCTTGACTGGAACAATGCAAATCCTACTTCCATAATTTATTTCAACAGTCACTTGGAATAGCGAAATCAGCGGAAGATGCAATTAGTAATATGCGTCTCATTACGAGCCACGATCACCAACTATCCTTCCCTTATTGAAATGGGCGACATTATTGCGCTCAGATTTGTCATGATTCTTTTTCAATCAATTTCTCGATTGGTTGATGTGTCATGATGTTGACAGTGTAAAACAAACAAAAGGAGCCACTCAAGTTCGCTGATATTGAGATTTTTCAACTTCCTCCACGCAACCTGTGACTAAGGGAAGGTCTTGTATATAAACAGTCGTAATTTCTATTTATACAATCTCTATGCTGTGAACAGTCTTTCCGGTAGTGTAGATAGAGGCATAAAGTTTGCTACTGCGAGGTTTCAAATAAGTTTTTGCTGCATCAGAAAGTGAACAGTGGTTTAGAAATGAAGGCTTTGCTTTTACAGCCTATTCGAGCTGACAGTTTATTTTATTATGCTTTCAAAAATACCGCTTTGAACGCTTATACAACTTGAAACCTGGTAACTGCTACGATATGTAGTCATGCTTATTCTAACCTAAGAGTTTTGTAGGTTTTGCCTAAGCGAATCTTACCCTATGACTTGTTAGATATTTACAATGGTGAATTTGGAAAGATACACAGTTTGTCATGCCAGAAAACACCGTTGAATTGGGTTGCTCCGGGGGTTCTTTCCGTTTTGGACATGTCATAAAAACACGTGAAATAAATGTTCAAAGTTTATTGGACCAGCTTTTTTTCCACTCGAAATCATATTTTGAATTGATTACTTTTCTGTTTACTGAAATAATCGTTATATTAATTAGTGTGTTGAGGGAACAAAGTGTAACACAATGCATTTATTTTAAGCACCTCTCTATACAAAAGATCCGAATTATTTTTTGATGTCAAGAAAGGCCATATTTGTTCTAGAGCATCAATCGGCGAGCTCGTGTGTTATTCAATGCAGCTTTTCTCCTCTTTCTTATAGTTGTTTTTGCTTTTCGATTCCTAGTATTTGAGCTAAAGTTACTTTGATTTTTCTTCTCGAGCGCTTTATCCGGAAGATTCATTATTTCATTAGTTAATCACTTCTCAAAAACATAAAGTGAAAGTCCAAAAAATTTCATTTGGACGTGATAAAGACGATAGTTTCAAAATTTGGACGATTTTTCTGTTTTTTGTTGGCTTTATTTTGCATTTTTGTTTTAGATGTATCCTTTGATCTTTTCCATGGGTGGGACTATTGAGTGTTTTCGGTCATCTGAAAGCGGTATGCCAAAAATTTTAATAAAGTTCCAGAGACAGTTGTTGACAGAATCATTTCATCGCAAGATTAGCATTCATGTATCATTGGTTAAACTGCAGCATTCCATTTCAATGCTAAGTTAACAAAGTTATGTTTTCATCGAGTGAGTAGAAACTCAAATGAACAGGTCTTGCTGGAAACTACTTGGGTATAAATAGTTTGGTTGCTTTCCGTCTTTTTGCACAAAAGTTTGTTATCGCATGTTGACCCGCATGACGCAAGAATTTCTACTTAAAACTCAGAACCAATTTGGAAAACATTTTCAAGCTCATGATGCTCAACTATACAACCACCGCTCCTTTGAGGTTAATCGTTGCTCATTGAGAAGCATACCTTGACCAGCAAAGGTATAGTCATTGAGATTGTTAGATTACATTGAGAACTGTTAAAAAAGCCTTGTAGTCTGACGCATCAGCGGTTCGTAGTACAATTGTAAGATACAAAACTACACTATTGTTACGAACAGTCTCCAGACTGTCAAATATTATCATGTAAAAGAGAAAATGGATTCCGAGTGCATTTCGAAGCATCCCAATTTACTCAATTTTTTCTGCTTTCACAGAATCGAGCAGTCGACAATAGGATAGTGCTTATACATGTAAAACATTTTGATGGGTCCATTCTTTTGAAAGTTTAGAGCGCTTCAGCTACCAGCGCTTTAGCTATCATTTACCAGTGCACAGGCCTTATTCAGCACAGAAATGCAAAACCAGCAAATCTCTTCCTTGTGATTCATCCGAAAGTATTATACTTATCAGATGATTTCTGAGAAAAGATCGCTTTATCTGCTTAAATATTATATTTTCGTTGTAACGTGACTACAATTGAGCATGTGCAACTAAAATCGTCCTACTAGGGCTTATATGTTCTGAACCAACACATACGCTCGCTCAATACGTACTGAAAAACCTTCCGTAGCTCTCGTTATTTCCCAAAGCTTTGCATGTGTGATTAGTTTATCAGCAGTTTATAAATGTTAACTTAGGAATGACTCAAAGATGTTTCCATCGATTTGTAGGCATTTTCCTACAACTTATAGTCGAACATTTTTCGAGGCACTAACAAGTGAACGATCCCAGCTTAAGGTGGCGAACTGGAATGAACCGCAAATCATTGGATGCAATTGAGCTAACTCCAAATCTACCTTCCGTATCTGCGACGCCTTTCTCTAGGAAAATGTGGGCGGTCAAAAATGTGAAGCCAGTGGGTTTTAATGCATAATGTGCTTAAAATCCAACTTGGGAGTGCATGACTAGCATGATATTTAGTGTACTGATTTCAAGGAATGTTCACAAGTAAAGGAAGCACAAATAAGTTTTTCTAAACAACTAAAAAACAGCTGAGTTTCTTTGAAAATGGCTATGAGCAATGAAAATTCCAGCTTTGGCAGATTTACAGCGCCATACCTCAAGAGTTCTTTGATCGAAAACACTTCTTTGTGTTTCCGTTAAAGCGAATATTCCTTGAAAGCGTACGCTTAATTTCATGCTAATTATGCAATCACAAACCGGATTTTAAAGCACATTTTACATCAAAACCTCAATGATTTTACACAAGTAATTGGTCATAACTTTTTCCAGAAAACGACATCGCAAATTGAAGATAGATTTGGAGTCAGCTCATCAAGACACATCCTATGGTATGCGGGGCTCATTCAAGTTTGCCGCTCAAGTTGAGATTGTTTCCTGTAAGAGGCAGCAGCCCTGCTGAGTTTATCACTGTGTTAGTCACTAATAAAGAAAGTAATTTCCAATCTCCGAAGAAAGAGTTCAGCACAGTTACAAAATCATCCTATTTTTACGTTAATTTACCATGAATGACAGTGCTTGCTAACTTGGGAGCCGGGTTTTGTGTACTTTTCTCGACTCTCCATTTTTTTCATAGCTCTTTATCTTTCACATATGCTCCTACTCGCTATAACTCTTTAAGTTTTCGTTCTTTGTTCATTCCAAGTGGGATGCTCTAATAGGTCGTCCCAAAATCTCTTTTGCTCTTCTGCTTTCCGATGCGATTATAAAACCGTTAAACAATAAATGAAAAGCAACTGAATACGTGTTCGACATTGCTTTTTCTTTTAGTGGTTACTTTAGCAATCAAAATTTTCTTCCACCCGTTATTCAAATCTGCGAATAATGCAGCTAATTATTAGCGAGAGGTTCACATGACTAATAGAAATATTTTGGACTTCTCGTGCATGGAAGTTATCAGAATCATTACTGAGAGACTACATTCTGATTTTTCTCTGATTTCCTTTTTCTGGAAAGGTATCACCATATCCGGATCAAACAGCCTCACTAATGCAGTGCTGGCGATCTCCTGCTCAACGTTGATTGATTACAGTGTGCAGCAGCCACCACCAAGGAACAATACGGGACTGTGTGCTGCACTTCTAGCAGGTCTATGCTGTGGATGCTGTTTGGAAAATTGTTGTGATGATCTGTGTTGTTGCTGTGATTGCTAGTTTTGCTCCTTTGATATCCTGTCTCTGCTAAGTGATTCACTTGTCTGAATATGTTCTTCATTTTAAATCGCGACACTCTTCAATGTTAGCTTAAAGTGTGGCTTTATGTCAAAAGTCAAAAATTGCTTTGATAATGGTTATACTCCTGCTTGAATCGTCAAAACGCAATGAAGAGTTCTTTCACATTTTATCTTCAACAATGGTGCTAGGAACGGCCGTACACTCGTGTAGCACACTATGTACATATGTAGCCAAATCCCACATTGACCCAAATTACCAAACACGAAAATAACTTTCCATTTTCCTATTGCCAAACATAGTCTACACTTTCTCTACATTAAGAAAAAGTTCTGCAGTACCTTGCGATCAGAATTTTTTTTTCACAAAGTGCAACAACCAATCGTTGAAGTTCAAGTAGAATTTTTTTTATTCGAAAATTACTGAAGATCTTCTTCTAATGTGTATTTTTAGCACAATCCTCAGTCTATCATTGTGCTCCTTTTCAAATTTTCTGCATGCTTGCGTAGTTTTTCAAGAGAAACTGCAAAAATTCTGAAACTGGGTATTTTGAGGAGAAAATTCCTTAAACTGGATCTTTTATTTTCGGTGCACGGTATTTTGGAAGAAACCCAGTTTTATGAAAACTCATGTAACAAACTAGAAAAAATGGCTCTCAGACAGTGTTCAAAGTTTTCTAAGAAGACTGTTCTTCTTTTCGTGACATGCACAAGGGAGAGGCACTAGCACACTAACCGTGTTCCCAACCTCATAAAGAAACCAAAGAGACCATAGAGGAACCTGATTTTTGTTGAATTTGATGGCCTTTAGGTTTGATGTGCGCCATAAAACAAAAAGCGCATTAAATTCGAACTGAAAATAGTTTAGGTTAGAAATTTCCAAACACCTAGTATGATCGAGTCTATTTTTAATTTTTTGTCTGCATAAGTATAGCACCGCAGCGCACAAGAATGATGTTTGTGATTAAGCAGATATACAGTTCAGTTTCCAAGCTATTGGAGGAGTCTTACATCGAAACTTGAAAATCATGTTCTTTTTTTTTGAATTTTATGTTTGAAAGGAAGTGCGAATTTAGTATTTAGCTGTGTGTTCCTCTGATTTCGTGGATGGAGTAAACTGTGTCAGTCCACATCTCGTCGAGCCATTTTGCCGTTTCCATTTCGTCTTACACATCTAATCGCTTTTCAAACCTTTTCGAAACTTACTAAGGAAATTATTGTCATCAAAGCTTACAGGGCGAGATCTGCTTCATCTTTGCTCTTTGCGTGGGTCCTGATGTAGATTACATTCTTTTGCTTTAAGTCATTTATATTTGCCATTTCCATCACTTGCTATGGAACACCGAAGATATTTTGTCTCCCAGAAAAGCGGAATATGCACGCTTTAATGCACGCTCCATTTAGTTTCTTTCAAGATCGGTTTCGCACATACTCACTCTTAGAATGCTTCAAAAATTTGCACAAGTTTAGATTTCCTTTGAAATTGATTTTCTGAGTCATGTGCTTTAGGTACTACTATTGTAAATGTGAGAGTTTAGCGGAACAGAAATGATAGTGAGGAGTTGTGAATATGAATACACAAACTTGCTGCATGCTTACATTTATATGACCAACAAAGAAAAAAAAGCGTAAACAATGAACAAGAGTTTAAGCAGGGTAAAATGTGCGGTTAGACACGACCCTTAACTTTTGCACACCCATCCAAAAACCCCACCCTCCTCTTCTCCTCTGAAACCTAAGAAAGTGATGCCTTGGAGGAAAATTATCCTACATTGAAGCTTTTATTTACTTGAAGTTTGTAAGTGTTAATTTTCTTTTTTCGCTTTCACATGACTACATATATGTACATACAGTTTGACAAAATTTGATGACGTGATTTGAAAGTGATACAATACTCAAGAGCCATAACTTTCTTAGGAGTGGTTTCGGGACCTTTATCACATGGCAAGAGCAGTTGTCTATAAATCTATTGAGAATGGGCTTGTTTGGAGATCTTGGAATTAGTTAAGCGGGTTAAGCACAGCGCTAAAGTAGCTCAGGAGTGGGTATCTTTAAGGGTGGTGCCTGACTCAATTAGCTTCTCTCAGAAGGAATTCACCCAGGTTTTATGTTAACCGCTGAGACAAACTTCGCAAATTCTACTGTTTAAGCTTACTTCTGCTTTAGCTTTCTGGTGTTCCACCGAGAAAAGCTTCCAAAGTGTGGAATGAGGTTATTGAAACAGCAGCAATTTTGGAGACGATTGAAATTACAATTTCTAACACAATAAAAAATTCAATTTTTTGTGAAATGTAGAAAAGGTCGACTATCTTGTATCGAAAGAAAGTCAATCATATTGAATTAATCTGTCAAATGTTAGTAAATACTAGAAATTAGGTAATGATTTGTAAAGCCGTAGAAATATTTTGATTTGCTTATTACAAAAATTACACCACCTCCGCATAGCGGACATCTTTGTTATTTTACAGGTGTATAGTAGGAGATGTAGATATTCAAATTGACTGAGACTGCGACAGTGATTCAATTGTTATGCTGTTCACAATCACATTTACTGATCACAGTCCACATTACAAAGAGGGCGAGAGTTGACATGCGACATAACCGGTGTAGCCCTTTTCCATCTGCACTATCATAGCATTAACTTTCATTTACATGGTTTTGATTGCGGTTTTTAAGTACCGGCCAATAGCACGTCAGCTACAAAAATATCTCAAACGTAGAAAACGATTGGGTCACAATGCAAAAATTCTCCAAATTCTAGAACAATGATTTATGAAAAAAAATTATATGAAACACATCAATATAAGAGAAATAAGAATAAAAAAGGAAAAACTCTGGCTCGTAGTAAACCCATTCAGCTCATCACATTAAGCTGACCCCTCAAAAATGCCCTCAGAAAATTGCGATTTTTCCTGCACATTTCGCTTGCTCGCAAAGAAAATATGACTGTCAAAAGAGAAGAAGTTGCATCGAATAGTACCTCCAAGTATTATGTGGTTTTCTTAGATCCCTTTTGTAGCTAAAGAGCTACAAAAGATTGCACTAATTTGAAAAAAATTTTCCCTACCAGCTGACCATCGAAGCATCTTCAAAAGTCTCAAAAAATCTGCGCAAGTTCATGATGAGAACGAAGTGTTGTAAACTTTAACAATTACCTCAGCACTCGTTCATTGACTTACACTGTGATCGCCGTTGCTGGGAAGATTTGTTTCTTTTACTGTACGGTTTGTGAGGATTAGTTAGACTGCAAAACTTTTGCACCTTTAGTATTTATGTTCCAACAGGTTAGATTTTTTCTGAGAATTTTGTCAAAATATCGTGATAGTTTCGTTATATCCATCCATATGCTAGGCGAAATCCTTAACGGAAATATTGGCAGCTATCAGATATCGCTCGGCAATGCAACAAAATTTTGCTGTTAGCATGTCTCAAAGCATGACCATAGGGATTGTATAATCGCTATCGTCTCAATCGATGTGGCTTTTTCTTTCTTCGAAAACGCCCACAGCATCCAGTTTGAAAGCTCACTGAGTGCTGGATTGGGGCGCAAGTTTAACTTGAGCCAGCCCCTTGCCAATTCGGACGGGTACCTAACCTCGGGTCTGTAAAAGTCAATACATAATAGGCGATATTCAACGTTGAAACTAGCGAGATAGTTGGAGAATTAACACAGAGCGTGGCAAATACAAAGAGTGAGGTAGAAAGAGCGAGGCAAAGGAAAAACAATTATCCGCACGCACGCAATTGCATCAAAAGATAGCACTTTTTGACCCAGTCGAGAATGTATGCTCGCTAACTAATGCTGATTCTGAGCTTGTCGTAGTCGATTTGACTGTAGACACTTTGTCTTCCACTTTCAAACACCTTCTGAACCAAGCTCCTTGCTGCCGCAGGATGGGAGCATACCGTGAGCACGCGTGGAGGCCATAGAAGTTTTGAGAATATGCCATCATTGCAGGTATCATCTAAACAGATTTTGAAAAAAGTCAGTAGATTGAACAAACTTACATTGATCGTTATGATGTGGTCTAAATAGTCTTCTGGTAATTTCAGATTTACTGCTACTAGTACGGTAGTAACGCAGAAGTACCAAGTGCACACAAACAGAGTGACCATACGCGACATCACTCGAATTGTCTACAATTTAAAAGTAATGTGTTCTTAGGAGTGTCGCTATCTTTAGGCAAAGCGAGATTGAGACTTGAAAATTCATGGGGAACTTACATTACAGGTTATAGCGCACGGAACAGTTGGAGAGCTTCCTCTGTGTCGTGAATCCTTGAGACTTTTCTCTGCAACAATTAAATATTACCATTGAGTAGAAATATAATGTGAGAAGTACTACAATATTAATATGCATCAAAACCTCATATGCTTCAAACCTCATACCTCATATGCTTGTCAGTAAAGTGCGAAAATGACCAAGTTGCTACAAACAGTAAACCACTTGCGTCTACCTGCCTTAGGCTGCGTTCATACTCATCCGGAAGTCCGGGAACCGTTCCAGCACAGCGCTTGAAATTCTGTTCTCGAACTTCGATATCATTATGAACGCAGTCTTAGGGCCGCATGCATTAACATCCCTGCCGGGGAGGAGATCGCAGCTTCAGAAGAAAGCTTCATATCCTGGGTCTCCAGACATCTGGATTTTACGCTATCTAGCTATTCGGGTATTCCCACCAACCATCATTATGAATATCCTGAACGGGAGCAAGAAGCTGTATAAGCCGCATTTTCCAGCTTTTTGTTCGATCCCCTGATATTCCTGGCGCCGACCGTCTTTTCTATAAATCCCTTTTCTTCTTTCGAAGTCACTAGAAACATTCAAAGTTGTGCTGCTTATCTAACTCAACAGTGCTAATCATATTTGTGGTAACAAGTGATGTTTCGAAGTCATGAAATTTGCGATGAACCACAAGTCGAAAGTTGGGATTTGTCGAAAAGTCGATATTCCATAAACTCGCTTGTTTCTGTCAGCAACGTGCTTAGCACCGTTGGGTTAGATAATGAGTACAACTTTGGAAGGTTTTTGTTAACTTTGAAGGAAGAAAAATGACTTTGAACAAATGACGTCAGGCCGCGAGGGATCATCAGGGGATCATACAAAAAGCCTGAAAATGCGGCTTATACAGCTGCTCGCTTCTCCCGTTCAAGAGTTCATAGTGAAGGATGATGGGAGTACTTACGAATAGGTAGACAGCGTGAAATATAGAGATTTGGAGCTTCAGGATATGAAGCTTTCTTCTGAAGCTATGATCCCCTACCCGGCGGAGATGTTAATGCGGCCCTTAATATGTTGAAGATGCAGAAAAGCTTCCTTCTCTTCAATGTTTTTCAAGCTTCACAATTGACTTTCACTCCAAATCAAGCAGCAAAAGCCAGCTCTTGATTTTTTGAACTTAGTTTAACTGCTATGACTCCGACAACACCTTTATGATCATCTCTAAGTGGCAGTGGTACCCAGGATTTCGGCTTGGGGGGGGGGGCGACAAAAAAAATTTTCCGATGAAGGTGCGTGGAGTCAGCCACGCACTTCGAAAATTTTCTTCTTGTGCTCCCTAAAATTTTCGCGGACTCAGAACTCACTTGAGCATTTTCATAACTCATGTAAGTGACTTTAAAAAAATTCGCGACCCTTTCTCGGGGGAGGAGGGCGCACCTCCCCCCCCCCCACCCTCGGTACGCCACTGCTAAGTGGGTGATACCTTAGCCGAAAAAGTGTGTATGTTTTTGCAGAGTTCATTTTCCGCGCAGCTTGAGAAAGGCTTTTCGAGAGTTTACTGAGGAAACTTACATTTTCGCAGTCAAGTATTATGATGAGTAGATACTAACAAGGTAAGGACTGAACTTAAGGTGGCGAAATGGAATGTATGCCCATCATTAGATGCGTCTTGATGAGCTGATTTTGAATCTACCTTCTCTGCGATGCCATTCTCTGGAAAAAGTTATGAGCGGTCAAAAGTGTGAAGTCGTTGGAATCTCAATGTATAATGTGCTTCAAAATCATTTTGCGAGTGCATGGTTAGCATGATAATGAACTACTGATTTGAGGGATGCTTACATTTACAGGAGACACAAATAATTGTTTCCATACGACTAACTCTTGAAGGTGTGGCTAAAGACTGACAAAATTGAATTTTCGAACGCTCATAACCTCTTATAAAGAATCGGTTCGCAGATATGGAAAGTAGATATGAAATCAGCTCACCAAGGCACATTTAATGACACGCAGTTCACCTCGATTAGCCACCTTAATCTGGAAATGGTTTTCTTGTTTGATAAATAAGTTTTAACGAATTGATATGAGCAAATTATGATCAGAAATAGCGTTAAAATGTGTGCTGTCTTTGTGCTTTGTGCTCTTTGACGGTGGAGCGAATATGGTCCACATCGTTCTATACTGAAAACAGCCTCTAGTGCGAGCATATAAAGCTTTCGTCTGTCAAGGGTGTGTCATATCTCCAATTGAGAACTAAATTCTTCCTATTCGCAATGGAGAATATTTGTCGTTGTTTGGTTGAAACAAAGTTAGGCGGAAATAATAGCTCAACGGTTTACGATATATTCACGTTTGGCCGCGGGCTGAGTTAACGCGAATTCATCGCCGCAATTCTCGCAGCAAGGCATAAAGTTATGGGTCCATTGCATGTCGATCTTTCGCATTTCGGTTGTGATAGTTAGTCACGATTGTTCGTGTTGGAGAACTATCACAACCGAAATGCAACATGATCGCTATGCAATAGACTTGTAACTGTTTGTCTTGTTGAAAGAATCGCGGCGATGAATTCGCGTGAACTTTGCCCGAGGCCTTCGGGTGGATGAATAAGTTACCATCAAGAATTTGAGAAATGACAGATCTTACTCGGTTTATAAGTGCAAACTGCGTTAAGTCGTGCCAAAGAACAAAAATAGTTTTAGTAAAGTTAAGCGACAATGTGGATGACCGAACATAACGATGAAGTTGTGCAGTCTCTAGCAATTTCTGACGCTCTTGCATGTGTGCGCCTCTTCTGCGATGTCTGACGCCTTATTTTATAGACACGAACCTTCGATGTCTTACATAATACATGAATTTTCATAGAAGCACTCTAGAATGTCAAAACGATGTTCTGATGATGCAAGAAAGAGACGCTGTCTACACCTTCTGCGGACATATGCCGAAGCATTTACTTTATAGACGTTAAGGCTACTCAGTGCACAGCCCTTACAATAAATGGGAATCAACCAATCACTGAGTCAATGCCTTAATCTTTCCAAATTTTTCAGTGTCGCTATTGGTTGATCCAGGAACTTATATGATCCGTCGGTCATAGCTCCTCCTCATACCACTACCCACTACCCACATGTTGCGTAATGTGTCAGAAGATGATTTGGAAACGCAAGATTTTTCCAAACTCAAAGCTTGTCCTTCACCAGGCTATGTCCCCGACAAGAACGCACATACATAGTAAAAACCTGAAACCTTTACTATACCAGTGAACATATGCAGAACTGAATCTTTTGACTTAGGCCACTTAATTGTTCGCTAGAAATTAGGCAGAAAAAAAGCTAGTTAGAGAAGCATTTTCTGATGTATCCATGCTCGATCGGTATACAGAGGGCTTGTATTACGCTAATGAAAGTACACATGTACGTGCTATTCTTACGCGCATTGATAATCGTCTACTGCTTTGAAAGGTGATAGCTCGCCAATTGGATGTTTGGAGGATACTCGCGTTTTTGATAATTTAAACTCCCAAAATGTTTCCTATATACAAAAGTAGGGAATCCTGGATTCTGAAAACCAATACAAACGCATCTAGGAGTTCAGCGTCCAAGCAAAATTTCGAATTGAATTTTTTCGCTTACCTGGGCTTATTTCTCCCGCTGATTCTGAAAATGCAGCTTGGAGGGCACAAAAACGCCGAAAACGGGCTTTTCCAGAAGCTCTCGATTTGAACTTTGTCGCTTGCCGCTAAGATCAAGACGCAGAGTTTTGTGGGACCCTACGGTTTTGACTGTGCGGTATGCGCACTCTGGCTCATCGAACTCACTCGTCCCCGGTCGCTACTTCTGAAGCGGAATTCTCGCTTCAGAAGCAAATTGGTGCATTGCCAGCAAGAGCCTTACCAGGACGGGCGCCCCAGTACCCTACATTTTCGTATCTGCCCGACGCTGTCTTTAAAGGCAGTGGATTCAGCAAAATCCAACAACTGAGGATTTTAACGCCGTAGGTTCCTTATCGCCCAAGTATGAAAACAGTGCAATCCCGGTGGCACAGCATGCTTTCCCTGCCGAAAAAATCGCTCTCAGACTTACACGCGCAGGCCGACTTACACACATCTGGACGAGTTGGCAATTTCCTTCTCACCATTGAAGGCTGCTCGCCGCAACGCTATAACTATTGGGTCCTGCAACGATTTAGCGTCACCAGCCTTGCTCCAGTCCAACTCTAAAGGGAAGGACATTAGAAACGCTTATTTTCGCCTTTTCCAAGCTTTCAAAAGTGGATTTTCGGGATCAGTGTATTGGGTAGCCCCAGGTAAGCGCAAATTTGACTAGGTGGAGATTTGCCGATACTTCATTGCAGAGACAATTTTGTCCACAACATATATTTGTCTTTCTGGCTTCTCAGCACCTCGCTGCGGTCCACCAGCATGCGCAGAAGGGAAAAGGGTCGTAGCGAAATGTGCACTATTTGTGCAGAATTATCTCAGGCATGATGAGAGATGGAGAGCCCAGGTGCTGTAATTAAATAGAGGTCTGCTAGGACTGTTATGGGGAACATTCATGTTTTTTAAGGACCACTTGCAAAAAAATTTTCCCCAGAAAAAGCGACCATTTTTTGCCCCCAAAAATGCACCACTTTTCGAGTGATTTTGAAGTCTTCTAATTCTGCACAGAAAGGACCAAATCTTTGATTACTGGGAATATTGTTGGGGTAATGCCTTGCACATCTTTTGGACCCATTATCCAGGCGTGGCGATCCCCGCAAAAGCGGCGCCAGCTGCGAAAAGAGTTGCAGTCAGAGGCAAGTTCGACAGCTTTAAGTTTCTGAGCGCAAATCGCAAAACTCAGGTGCAACGACGGGTCAAAAGCTAACAGGCTTCTCAATCAGATCATCCATGATTTGGACGAAATTCTGAATTGCACAAAAAAATGGCAGTAGGAAGAAAAATTGTGGAATTGTGGTTGGAAAGATTTCTCTTCTTGACGGACAGATCAAACACGTCTTGGCATCGATAAAAGTCAGAAGGCTTATTGAAAACTTCAGGCTTCCCTCCACTGAACAGAATACATAATATAAATAATTTCTCCAATCGCCAATTTATATCGGTATCCTTCCCCGTTTAGGAAGCTCATGTCTCTTGCGTCAACGCGCTTATCGCCCTTGTTTAGCTCATGCTGCTGGTTGTCTTCCACCATTGCGAAAAGTAAACATAAAGTTAAAAATGAAAAGCACCATTTTTTGCAACGACGATTACCAGAGCAATGACGACGACGATGGCTCCAGTATTCATTACTGCCATGAGTGCGCTGAGTGCCGTGACAACATCAGGTGCTACTGCAAATCAGGAAAATAGTAGCGTGGCGAATCATGCACATCACCTGCACTCCCCAGTTGGTGGCCGGCATACTTTCACTTCCGCATTGTTCATGCGATGATAAGATGCTACCAAAGCTGAAGAGGAGACCATTAGTATAGGCGTAAGCATGAATCCTACATATGCTTTAGTTGACCACATTACGTGCCTGCAATTGTGAGTCTTACATCAGCAGACTGTGTCTATTCTGGTGCTAATATTCTGACGCTAGCAACGATCGAGCTTTGTTAACTTTACCCTTGCTCTGTTACTCACTAAAGCTCACTAACTTCATTGGTAGCGTGACTGCAATCAGCATATCAAGCACGATGACAAAATACATGAGAGACTGCGCAACTGTTGCAAATAGATATATTGATACTGATCGAAAACATTCAGCTTGCTCCATGGCGCTGCCTCTAAGATAGAAGGTCTTCGGTACACCGGTAAAATATGTTGAAGAATAACATAATTTTTATAAGAAAAGCAAAGTACTTGCCTCCAATATATGTGAAGATTGATCAATTCCGACAGCAGGCATATGGACTGGATCAAGCAAAGAGACGCCATCAAATACCCTAAATAAAGGCAGTCACGGTTCAAATGCAAATGATGACAAGACTCACAAGGCTTAAACAAGCGTCAAATTCAGTGATTTTTTCATGTTTTTCAATTGTTTAATCTTTACTTGCTGCTTCAGCATTCGGAAATTGCTTCATGATTACAAAGAAATGTTCAGAAATCGAAGTGTCCAATCCAAACCAGTGCATATCATTAGACGCAGCATAAAACGCCGCTGACTAAATCTGTTTTCCTTACCTGCTGAAGACTTTTGTGAATGAACTTATAAGCCATAAAAGACCCTTATTTTGCTAAGAAATCGTCCTTGTAAACTGCATATTGCGTACGCAGCCATGTCCTGCCTAAGGCTGGACCAAAATGGCCCATACCTAAAAATGAGCTAAAAGCTCAATAATGTGCCAATTTCGCAATTTTTATGTACATTTTTTTCGCAGTTAAAGTTAAGTTAAACTGCACATATTCGCCTACAAGGGCGTTCTACAGATACTAAAGACAGATTTGAAGTCAGGGTAGTCAAGGTTCTATGCCGAGTAGCGGTCAAGAATAACGATAGCTCTGCCAGTCGCTAGCTGCCAGCTGCTCGCACGCAGAAAAGCCCGCCCTCACTCATTCATTAAATCGAAAAAAATGATTCAAATTTCAGTTCGTTTCATTTGAAATTTGTTTTTTTAATCAACCATGAAAGCTTACATATTTCACATGCCAAACCAAGCTTAAAACAATTCTTTCGCGTGTTCATGACGATGTAAAGCTGACCATTTCCATCCTTAGAAAATAGCAGAAGCCTTAACATAAAGGAATAAAGAAGAACGACGCTTTGGGCATCCACTGCTATAAAATGTACTGCCTGCGTGAGCTCGTCCGGTGCTGAGGTGGTGCTACCTGTATACCGTTTATTGACACCCGGGCACTTAGGGCGCCACTATTGCCAGCTATCGTTATTTTGACATAACCTTCTATGCCGCATCAAATGGTTTGCAGCTTGTTTGAAATGGCCACTTTGACTTCTGTCGAATTCCTTGTTAGCAGGCTTCAACATCCTTCTCAAAAGCCTCCAAAAACTATCTTCACGCAAAATCAGAAGCTAATAAGATACCGAACCGTTTCTATTTTCTAGAGCGAAAGTCTGCGTAAGTAGTGGCTTTGGCATCGTTAATAGGTTCTCCGTACTAGCCTAACGCATCTTTTAGTGTTCTACTTGCCTTTGTAAAGCAGTCGACTGCAGGCACAATACAGAATTGTACACATGTTTTTAAATTTGCCAAGTTCTTTTCGAGAGATTTGACGGCAGCAATTCTTTTGTTGCTCCAAACTTGAGGGTTATTATTCTGCGAAATCTAGCTGAAATATCATTCGGCATGCTAGAAAACCTTGGACTGGACGGAAGCAATTTAATTTTCTATATTTTATTTATTTATGTTTCATTTTTTATATTTCTGAACCCATCCAGACCAGACCGCGCAAATGCACTTCGGGCGGGGCAGGTGTCATATGGGGGCCTGCATGATCGCGACATCGGACGTGCGATGTACACATCGGACGTGCGTACGGCCATTGCGCACGTCCGATATCACTAAGGCAGGTGCCAGACTTATCCGCTTCAACCGGTTCATTCGGTTCATAGCAGTGGCGTACCCAGGATTTCGGCTCGGGGGGGGGGGGGCGCGACAAAAAATTTTTTCCTAATGATGGTGCGTGGCGTCAGCCACGCACTCCGAAAAATTTTTTGGGATGTTTCCCAATTTTTCCGGGCCCCTGACCCCAAAATTTTAGAAAAAGGGGGCGTGGCGGCAGCCACAAACCCGAAAAAATTTTTTTACAAAGCTAATTTGAATTTTTAAAAATTTTTAAAAATTATTTTAATTATTTACAAGTAAACAAGTCCTCTCCACATTTTTATAATACATTTAAGTAACTTTCAAGAATTTCGCGACCCATTCTCGGGGGGGGGGGGGCGCCCCCCCCCTCGGTACGCCACTGGTTCATAGGTCAACCACTACACCGTACAACACAAAGGTGGTAAACCGAATGAATCTGTTGAACAGGATAAGTCTGGCATCTACCTGAGTCGTCGGACGCACATCTGACGTACGCGGCGCGATGGCCGTACGTACGTCCGACTCTCGCGATATGCAGGCCTTTATACACTTCTTTTCGTCATCGATCGATATCAATTTTATCGATTTTTGTAAAGCTCAAGCTACGAGGCTGGGAGTTGGCACAGGGGATAAGTGGGCATGCTGATTACGAATACATCATTGGATTTCGCAATCAATTATTACTTTTATCGATTCTATCAATTTTTTGCGATATTTGAGCTACGGGACTGAGTTGGCACACGGGAGTGGGTAGGCAAGCTGATTACGAAAACAGATCGGGGATAGGGAATTGCCATGTAGAAGTGCACAGGGAAAGCTGATACAGGGATAGGGACGATAACTTTTATCATAGTGTTCTGACAAAGCCGGGCGATGCCGGCCAATTTTTTATACTTTGACCATGAAAAATTCTATCACAGTACGCGCACTCAACGAAAGCATAGTCACGCCTCTGACTTGCATCCTTGTCTACAATCCTTTGGTGACAGTCTAAAAGACAGTGAGCTCATATCACATAAAAATTCATGTCCGTGCAATACCTGCTTTAGTCCTCAGCACAGGAGAGCGGATTACAGCGACAATCACATTTATGTTTCCGAATTGGCCGACGCAGTTGAAGAGAATAATAATAACAGTTATGAAACAAAGATGAGGGAAAGTAAGCATGTTCATATGGGAAATACCGGGAATGAATCCTGGAAAATTGTCAGAAGTGGATTATTTGTTCTATGAATGTGCAGTTGACTGACAGATAGCGCATTTTTGCAAGCTGCTTACGTGCTCGACCATCGATGAGTGTGTTTCGCTATTGTGACAACTCAGTTGAGAATTCTCTGCGATTTTTTACAGACGACTTCAATTGATGCACGGGAAAGGATACGGGTAATAGGGATGGGAAAGCGTGCGAATCTTTCAGGTTATTAGAAAAAGCCAATTTATGCGCGAGCATCTTCTCAGACAGTCGAAGGTACCTCCGGCGGGCAAATGGCGCGAGTCTGCCACTTCGCGCTCTAGAGCGCTCCGGAGCGCTCCAGAGCGCGAAGTGGCAGACTCGCGCCATTTCCCCGCCGGAGGTATCCCTTCGACTGTCTGAGTTAGTCTGGGTATAATACCTCATTGATACTTGCTACTATAAGTAATCGTTCAATCTGTAGTGATATAGATAACTGTTGTATCTATGGCGCTACAGTCGACTAGATCATGTAGCGCGCTTAAGGTGCCGAGATGATTGCGTGTAAACAATAGCACCGCCAGTAATTCTAGCAATTTGCGTGTGCAAGTGGGCGGCATTACATATAATAGAGCTTTCCACAGTTGCTGCTAACATTGCTATTCTTTGACCTGCGATGTGTACTAATATGTTAGCAAATCATTTTGGTTACCAACGTGAGCGCCAACATTATTATAAATGTCTTCACAAGAGAAAAACATAAGCTGCTTTTCGCGAGATTTGCTGAAGCCTTCAAAAAAGTTATTGATTTTACGTACACTCAAAAATGCAAGTTTACGAACTAAGACAGGACCATCTCGTCAGAGTCATGTAAACGGTTCGCAAAGCTCGTCTACTACAGTCAGGATGACGCGAGGTTGCGAGACAGCCAGGAAAGGGAACGCAGCATGATTTAGGCCGCATGCATGAAATTCAAAGCAGCGAGGGGATTGGCGTGCCCCGTTATGATGGAGCTCCAAGTACCGCTGCAGTTTCTCCATCATTGGGGACGCCGCTTCCTTCGCCATAAGGACTTTCATGCATAAGAGCCTTAGAGCAGGAGCAGGAAGGGGGAATTGGGAGCAATGCAAGGTTGAACAAAAAGACTACGGCGATGGGTGAGTGCTCAGACGCTTTGGACCGAATTATGCACCCTTTGCCAGTCCATAACGGTTAAGCGGGAGAGAAAACGCCAGCTAGTCATGTATGAGTCCATAACGGTTAAGCGGGAGAGAAAACGCCAGCTAGTCATGTATGAAACTGCCTTATTGGAGTTTGTCGAGAGACAGTAAGAAAGCAAGTTGGGAAGCGCATCTCCGCTTTCACTGCACTTGGATATAGAACTTATCAATAAGCGATGCCAAAAGAGTTTTCTCATTTACAAAAACGTCCTACTATCAAAAACGTTTGGACACATTGGAAGAAGAAACGAGTTCCCGCTATGTAAGAAAACACGATTGCTTACCAGTCATAAATTGGATTAATCTGATTCGATTGGCGGCCTTGATTGATTTGATTTGGAGACTCCCATTTTTTGCAAAAGGAATCATCACCTCAGAAAAAAACTACTCATCAAAATAACATCGCAGACCACTAATTCTTCCGAAGGTGGGAGGAGATAACTGTGCTTTCGATAATCCTTCAGAAAGCTGTAAAAGCTTGGCTAAAATCAAAAAAGAGTCACAAATCTAGAAATACTACAACGTGAAAATTTTGACTTTGAGCAAATAGGAACGTAGTATACCTTGCCTTTTTACCTTATAGTCGCACCTTTCTGATCTTTTACTTTGATGAGATATAAGTTCGTTCAATATCTACACTTTCAAAGGCGTCGTTCACTCAAAATGAGGGTGATGAGATTTTGATGTTATAACGCGGGGCGCTGATTAAGCGGTTGCACAAGTATTGCTGCAGAAGATGATTTCCACAGCGACAAAACCGCTCCAGAAGATAGAAGCCTCCGCCCATAAACATGGGTAATCTGAAAATCACCAGTCCGAGATTGGGCTCCAGGGTAGA